GACACGGTGCTGTGGCTGACATCCTTGTCTATGTCGGATATGAGGATGAGGAACAAGATGGGAGCGAGTACTGTGCCTTGTGGAACAGAGCTTTTCACCGTAGCTGCCTCGGACTTTACTCTGTTGACGACTACTCTCTGTGTTCTGTTAGTGAGGAAATTATAGATCCATCGACCGACTTTTCCTGTTATTCCTTTAGCACGCATTTTGTGCGCTATTACGCCATGGTCACACTTGTCGAAGGCTTTTGCAAAGTCTGTATATATTACATCTGCATTCTTTTTGTCTTCTAGTGCATTTAGGACCTTGTCGTAGTGATCCAATAGTTGAGACAGACAGGAGCGACCTGTTCTAAACCATGTTTGCCCTGGGTTGTGTAACTGATGGGTTTCTAGATGGGTGGTGATCTTGCTTCTTAGGACCCTTTCAAAGATTTTTATGATATGGGATGTTAGTTCTATTGGTCTGTAGTTCTTTGCTGTTGCTTTACTGCCCCCTTTGTGGAGTGGGGCTATGTCTGTTGTTTTTAGTAACTGAAGGACGACCCCCGTGTCCATGCTCCCTCTCCATAGGATGGAAAAGGCTCGTGATAGGGGCTTCTTGCAGTTCTTGATGAACACAGAGTTCCATGAGTCTGGCCCTGGGGCAGAGTGCATGGGCATGTCATTTATCGCCTGTTCGAAGTCATTTGGCGTCAGGATAACATCGGATGGGCTTGTGTTAATCAAATTTTGTGGCTCTCTCATAAAAAATTCCCTTTTGATCTTCGACTCTTAGTCTGGTTAGCGGCTTGCTAAAAACTGAGTCATATTGGGACTTCAGTAGCTCACTCATTTCCTTGCTGTCATCTTGTAGGACCCATCTTTTTTAAGTAGGGGCCCAATACTGGACGTTGTTCTCGATTTTGATTTGGCATGGGAGAAGAAATACTTGGGTTTCTTTCGATTTCATTTATGGCTTTTAGTTCTTCCCGCGTTTCCCTGACTCCTAAAGGATTCTTTTGCTTAAGTTCGATGCTTGCTATTTCTCTGACCAGTGTCTCCCTACGCATTTTAGATATATTGACCTCTTTTAGCCGCTCTGTTATTCTTTTCCATCGCCTGTAAAGGGAGCGCCTGTCTCTTTTATTTACTTTCTATCCTCCTTTTTCTTAGGGGAATAAGCCTTGTGCATACTTTCGAGTGCCACCGAGTTAATCTGTTCTAGGCATAAGTTGGGGGTCTGTGTTGTAGTATATCTTCCAGCTTATATGGGTTAGGACTTGGTTTACTTGGTCCCACTTTATGTTTTTGTTATTGAAGTTGAATTTGGTGAATGCCCTCGTGACTAGTCTCATTTTGTCGGTCTGGGGCTCCACGCATACATGTCTGAACCTCAATTATGTTGTGATCTGAGTATATTGTTTTTGATAGGGTGACATTTCTTATCAGATCATCATTGTTAGTGAAGATGAGGTCTAGTGTATTCTCCAGTCTAGTAGGCTCTATTATTTGCTGGTTTAAATTGAATTTTGTGCAGAGATTTAAAAAGCTCGTGTGAGTGTGAGTTTTCATAAGAAGCTGCCTCCGGGTGTTATTACTGCAACAATATTATTTGCTATATTCCTCCATTTTAGGTCCCTTAATTTGAAATCCCCGGGAGCAAGATGTTGGGTGCAGGAGCTGGAAGATTTTCCAGACAGTGGTAAATTTTTAACAGCTGTTCCTGGAACTGCTGGGATGTTGCATCCGGAGGCTTGTAGACTACCCCCAATGACTAGGTTTTGGTTCTCGACTTTATGCTAAAAACTTCCATACATCATTTGAGGCATTTAGAAAGTTCTGTGCAAACAAGTGACTCTGCAATGTACAGGCCAACCCCCCCCCCTTTGCCTGTTCACTCTGTCACATTGTATAGGTTGTAACCTGGGATCCATATTTCGTTGCCCCAAGTGATCCTTTATGTGGGTCTCAGTTGAAAGCCGCGAACTTTTGCCTTTGCCTCTGCAAGCAGTCCACGGATGAAAGGTATTTTGTTGTTGCTGGCTTTAGACCCTGTATATTTGCAAAGAAGAATGTTATCGGACTGGTGGTATTGTTGGTACGGGGGGGGGGGGTTATTTTTTTTCCGCATTAGTATCTGTATCTGTTGGTTTGGAGTGGAGGCCATCGACTGGGGTTTCCCACTCCAGGAATGACTGGATTTGGTGTACGATTTCTGCCATTTCCTGCCATTTTTTTTTCCCTTTCCCTGGCACTAAAAAACCTCTCCCTCTTGAGTGGCTGTGGCTACCCGGGTTTTTTCCCATGGCCTGGATGTTTTGTATCTTTTTGTCCCTTTAGATGGTATCCCTGGCAATTTAAGTTATAGACAGTCTTTCCTGTACTGAAAAAGGTACACAGTTCAGGGTGAAAAAGCTTACGGGAAAGGGGAAAGTTTGCATTTTCCTGTTTTATATGTGCATGGCATTTTTAGGGTGGTCATAGTTGCACGTCCCATCTGTTTTTCCAGATTTCCCATGCCGCAGATACCAAGTGCATAGTATGTGCACAGGTTTGGGTTTTCCCGCTTCCCTTTTTGGGTTTCTGTGACTGTATTCCCTGTTGGTGCATGTTTCCCTGTCTTACTTCTATCCTCCCTAGCACCAACAATGGGGCTCCCACCAGTTGTTTTTGGTAATTTATCCTCACTATTGCTATTGGAGTCTCTTGTTTGCTATTTTCCCGCGGGGATTTCTAGTTTGCAATATTGGTTTTATCTTATCTTTGACTACACTTGTTTCCCTACTATGCCCTGTCCCATATGAGGTCACTTATATGTATTCCTTCCTGCGTATAATTCCCGACTACCTGGACAAAATCTCCAGCTTCACCATTACTGTCTCCCCGGACGCATCCGCTTCACCCTTTGTCTCCCAGGACAGCACCCTCCAGCTTCACCATTACTGTCTCCAGGACAGCACCTCCAGCTTCACCCCTTACTGTTCCCAGGACAGCACCTCTACATATACATATATATATATATATATATATATATATATATATATATATATATATATATATATATATATATATATATTTTAATATATATTATATATATATATATTTATATATATATATTTATATATTATATTTTATATATATATATATATATTTATATATATATTATATTTTTTAATAATATATTATATAAAAATATATTTTTATATATTTATTTATATATATATATAATTTTATTATAATATATTTTTTATTTTATTATTATTTATTATATTTATATTTTATATATATATATTATATTATATTTTTATATATATTTATATATATATTTATATATTTATTTATATTTTTATATTATTATTAATTTATATTTTTATTTATATATATTTATTATATATATATATTTATATATATAATATTATTTATATTTATATATATATTTATATAAAATATATTTATATATATATATTTTATATATATATTTAATAATATATATATATATTTATATATATATTTATATATATATATTTATTATATATATATTTTATATTTTATATTTTTATATATATATTTATATTTTATATTTATATATATATATTTATATTATATATATTTATTTATTATTATTTATATTATTTTATTTTTTTATATAATATATATATTTATATATATATATTATTATATTTTTATATAATTTATATATATATATATATTTATTTTTATATATATTTTTTATATATATATTTTTTTTATTTTTATATTTATTATATATTCTAATTTTTATATATTTATTTATATATATATTATATTTATATAATATATTATTATATATATATTTATATATATATATATTTATATATATATTTTTTATATTTTTATTTTTATATATATTTATTTTATATATATTTATATTATATTATATATATATAATATATATTTATATATATATTTATATATATATTTTATATATATATAAACTTTTTATTCATTATGGTATTTATATATATATTTAAAATATATATATTATAATTAAAAAATAAATATATTTTCTAAAAATACTAGCCATTCGAATTTAAAATATTTAAAACATGAAATCTAAAGTTATGAAATACTATTACTTATTACATTTAATTTAATTTTATGTTCAAAATGGTCCTAATTCCATTTGAATTTTGGTAATAATGTTTTTTAAATAAAATACAAACTCTAAAAACATGGATATACTTATTGGGGGTTAAGAAACAACCATGATACATTTAATTTTATTTTCACTGAATTGTGCAACTCAGCACTTTAAAAGGTAAAAAATTTCGACCTAAAGTACAGGAATTTACGGCCGCATAAAGATTAAAAACCCTAATTTGGAGCCCTTGAGGTCCAAACCTGATTCCCCAGGTCACTTATTACTCTGGAAAATTCCTAGAGGACTATACCCAACTTCAACAAAATTCCTCATGAAAGAAAGACTTCACGAGCCATCAAATAAAACTGCACTAACGTTATGAGGCCTAAATGTGGCAGGGCCGAGATGTAATCCTTAGCACTGGGTACAACAGACCCCGGGTTATGACACTGGCAACACAAATCACCTATCACCGGGCGGCTGAGAGTTTGCGACCAGAAACAGGGTTTTACAGCCTTCACAGGAGGGGCACAACGGGCCGCGGGGGCGTTGACCCCCGGAACTCTCTCCAGGTAAACTCCAGGTAAACACATTCCCTTTATGTGGGGTGTCTTGAGGCTAGCGAAGGGATCTTGATCCCAGGACTTGGAAGTACTCTTCCTTTTGGAGCAAACTTGACTCGCATTCCATATGGATTTAGCGCTTCCTTATAAATATGATAAATATACAAGATACCCGTTGCAGGCGTAACTTGCAAGTTGTCACACCAGCAAATAATGCTTTATAAACAGCTGTATGTTGCAAGAAATTGGCTGGCAACTTTCATGCCATGTAGTCGTACCAAAGACGTGTTCATGACCGTATGCACAGCATATGGAGTATGCAGCAGAATATCCATCATGGAGTATGCAGCGCCAATATGGAACCCACATTTGGTAAAGAATGTTAAGCTGGAAAAATTGCAAAGGCTTACAACTAAACTAATACCGGAGCTGAGGGGTATTAGTTATGAGAAGCTTAGAGGAGCTAAACCTGACGATACTAGAGGACAGAGGGACCAGATGTGACATGGTTAAAATATATAAAATGCCGAGAAAAATTGTAAGGGGAGGGGGGGGGATGTTGTTAATCTGAGAACTGGAAGTTAAAAGTACAGTTAAGTAACAGGGATGTTAGGGAATACTTCTTAGCCTTACAGTGAATAGGAAATGAAACGACAGCGAAGTGGTTGATGCAGAATGAATACATACCATTTAGAATAGTTATGATAGGGCTTGCACAGCCAGGAGAGATCGAACCCAGCAGGGAGGAGCCAACTGAGACTAGACCTACAACCACAATCAGGTGGGTACAATTAGGCGGGTACACGCGGAAGATCAGTAAAGAAACAGCTAGGAAAGACGTAATCACAGCGTAGTGGTTGACTAGTTAATGGGACTTAAAGCCTATCATCTGCAGGAGGGTTAGTACGGCTGTTTGTCACCTTTTCACCACCAGACAAGAATACGTTACTTCCTAAAACAGGGATTAGACTCTCAAAGAAGTACGCCTCTGGGTGTGTGTATAATCTGTGTTCTCAGCTCGACATGCTCAAACATTTTTTCTTTAATTTAATATACTATATTGTCATTTAATAAAATTAATAAGTGATTATTAATAACATTATTAATAATAAAATAAATTATGCTTAATTTAATTTTGGTCTACGAGGCATGTACAATGTAGATTAAATATGAGCGTGTCTGTGTGAACAATCTACATCATATGTTTCCCGCCTGCAACCCACTTTATCTAGTGGCCTTGACGAGGGGACAGATAAGATTTTCTTCGGATTTTTAACCCCGGAGGGTTAGCCACCCAGGATAACCCAAGAAAGTCAGTGCGTCATCGAGGACTGTGTAACTTATTTCCATTGGGGTCCTCAATCTTGTCCCCCAGGATGCGACCCACACCAGTCGACTAACACCCAGGTACTTATTTGCTGCTAGGTGAACAGGACAACGGTGTAAGGAAACGCGTCGAAATGTTTCCACCCGCCGGGAATCGAACCCGGGCCCTCCATATGTGAAGCGGGAGCTTTAGCCGCCAGGCCACCGGGCCTTGTAAGTAAATTTATTTAGGTGTAGGGACATATAAGTATAATTATCATACCTAGTAATATGTATAGATTACCTAGGATAACCCAAAAAAGTCAGACAAAATTACTTATTTCCACTGGGGTCCTGGTAGCGGCTCAACATTACATTAAAAAATTTACAGATGTATATGAGACTTGCGCATTAATTCTGCAGCAACACTATAAATACACTAAACAGAGAGGTGTATACCCGAGTTTCAGGGTACATGTATACAACCGGTAGAGGGGAACCCACGTGTAGAAAAAGACGGATGGCTTGGAATGTGTATAAATCTGTATTAAAGAGAAGGAAGTTGGTCGAATGTTGTTTAATTTCATCGAGGAGAGAGCCTGAACACCCCAGTGGAAATAAGCCATACATTTTTCTGGAGTTATCCTGGGATGTTTACTATTAACGTCTCTGGGTTAATAAGCCGAATGTAATTTCAGCCTATATATGAATAGGAAACAAGAAATGTTTACTTTTCTGAGCATCTTGATAAACTCGATCGGTATCCATAATGAATAATGAAATTATTAACTCTTAGTTAAAATTCGAGAAATCAGAGTATTGGCTCTTAGCTAACCATACCACGGGCGGGGATAGAACCCGCGATCAGAGTCTCAAAACTCCAGACTCTGATCGCGGGTTCTATCCCGCCCGTGGTATGGTTTGTTTGCGGTCGTGTCATTACGATTTCGTGAGTCATGGCGCTTAGCTCTTTTGGAATCCTTAGATCAACACTTTTTCATGTTAATAAAAAATGTAGTGATGACAGGAGAAATGGAATGGGCGAGAGGAGATAAAGAGGAAAGAAAGGTAAGAGAGGTGAAAGTGAATAAAGAGGAAAAAAATAAAATATAAAATAGAAGGAAAGGGAAAGAGACGGAATGAGATAAGAGGAATGAAGAGAGAACAGCACATCAGCCTGAAGGTATTCTGGTGTAAACCAGAAATTTCTGCAATGTCCGATCTATAATTCTAGTCGAAAAAGTATGTTGAACTTTTTTTTTTGTGTGTGTGACCTTCCAGATCTTAATTTTTTTATACATACAAAAAAGTACTAGATATCACACTATGACAGGGTTTCGATTCGCCCTCCCATATTTCGTGTATTAATCCTCCAGTATACCTGGAGTATACCCGGAGAGGGTTTCGGGGGTCACCGCCCCCGCGGCCCGGTCTGTGACCAGGCCTCGTGAAAAAATTGGTTCTGACGAGTAAAAAACTGTTGTCCCATTCTCCTTACGATTATTCTAGAATATACAGTATGTAGGATTAACTCCAGGCTTTCTGTTTTGTTATTGGTTATGGCGTCACTGGGGTACTATAAATCTTAAATTTTCAAAGACGACTCCACCAGAATTTGCGAATAGTATGTACTACAGTCACCTAGAAAAAAATGGTATTCTACATTATTCATTAAAGTAATGTCATCGTTTTCCTTCCGGCGAAGGGCTTTGGTTCCAAGTAACTGGAGGTACTCTCCAGTTCCTCGGATTAAACCTGATTAACCTCATTCCCCACGTGCTGTATGACCCTTACGGGTTTAACGCTTTCCCATAAATGTAGTAATACTAATACTACTACTACTAATAATAATAGTAAAAATAACTACTGTTATCATTAGGTTTCTCATAAAAGGGTACGTAACTTTTGAGTATCAATTTTTTTCCTTTCAAGTTTTTATTATAGTTTGAGAACGCCTCATCTAATCGGTTCAAATTTTCACTGCCGATATGTATTGTAACTAGAGAAAGGCTCGTGCGACTACTGCCACGTGCAGGTGCCCTCTGGTTAATTTTATATGGGCCATTTTCGATTTTTGGTTTCCATACCATAACGTGAGAAAGGCCCTCTCATCGACTTCTAACTTCCAACATTAGTGTATCCTACTAGTAATTTTTTGAGTGATCGTGGGCTGTTTAGTTGCCATTTTTTATTAAAAATAATTTTGAGTATTTTTTTCGTGCGATAATTTATGAATGCAACTTTCGAGCAGTTTAAAACTTGAAGTGCTGGTTAATTTTACACAGAAAACTGCTTTGATATTCTGCTGTATGTCCCAGTTTGCTCGTTTTATTAAACAGGAATATTGGTTTTCGTGTGATAACTAGCGAAAGCCCTTTCTGATTAACTTTAAACTCAAAGTTGATGTATCCTATTGTATTCAGTTGCAAAGGCCTTAAATGAGTAATTTTGTGTTCAGCCAATAGAGGTGTAGAAAGCAGCCACGGTGGGGGGACTCCGAGAGGTGAGGGAATGTCCCCCCGGGCCGGTGAGGCACTAGAAGAAGTGACAGCTGCCCCACATGTAGACCGTTGGGCGAGGCTTGGTGCCACCTGGCCCAGTTGACTCGCACGGGCACACTTGTGGACCACGCTAGAGGCGCGGGATAACGCTGCCAGTCCCCCAACCACACACTCCTCCAATACTCCCAGGTAAGCGAAATGCAGAACACACTTTCCATTTACAGAAAACAGAAGTTCTTGGTTATGACTGAGACGAGCCTGGGTTCCGATGGAACCGGGGAACCTTGATTGATGCTGACCGAATTTTTAGGAATCTTGATTTTGCTTGAGATGAAAAGAACTTTCATTTTGACCGAAAAATAGGTCTAAGCCTGAATGAGACGGGAAGTCTTAATCCTGAAAGAGACAGGGATAAGTTAAGTCTCTTTCATGAGTCATGAGGATCATGTAATAGCTTCCCAATTTATATCTTTTTTTTAGTTTAGTTAGTTTAGTTTAATATCTTTTAGAAAGCACTGCTTCTAGAATCAGGTGCACTTGTGATTCTTCGTATGCTAATGAGGTGTATAGAATTTATTAATTTTTAGAATTGTCACTTTTATTTTTTTTATTATTCCCTTATTGTTTATTATTACTTCGAGTCCCTGTTGTATTAAAATAATACTCTCATAAGCTACAACTTCAATCATTTATATCCTAATTAAATAATTTTAATTTTAGTTTAAGTTTGTAGTGGAGTTGCAAATGTAGGGCTGCTTTTTCGGTTGCCAGTACTCATTACATAATTTATTTTCACAATACCTGTATGGTGAAAGTTTAGTTTCTGCCCGATATGCTGTGCATAAATATGAGCTTTATATAAAAAAATCACGAATGGTTACCTAACCCTTGTAATTTTTATGTACTTGTTTAGTCATGTCTACAGGTCTACCATTAAACACTGAATCATTATTATGTTTTAATATGCTTGAATTAGACTGTCATAAGGAATTTCTTTCAGTGAGTGTTGCTCTGAGACAGGTGATGTGGAGGCCACACAAGAGAGTGTGAAGGCAACAGTAAAAGAATGGTCAGCCTTGTCATCAGGTTACCATAGTAGTGTGGGCTCATCAGAGGCCAGCTTAGGAACCTTAGAGTCGTCTCAGGTTGTTGATGCAAGAAGTAGTGGTGAAGATGATGACAGTGATTGGGGTGAGGATGAATGGCCGGTGGAGCGTGCTCTGCCTTTGCCAAAATGGGGTTGTGAGCGTCCAGAGCTGAACCTGCTCACCCTGGACCAGTATGAGGACTTCCTTATTCATGTGACCCAACATCTCCAATATATCCTCTCTTCCCACTGCTATGACACTGTCTCAAACTTTATTATGTAAGTGCTTATTTTTGTCCTAAAAAATTACACTTGATATAAATCGCTATTATTAGACACTGTTTTATTGCCTAAGTTTAGCTATAATAAGAAGTCAATCCCGTACCAACATTTGGATTGGTGTTTAGGTTCAGTGAGGAGTACGTGTCCTCACGGAGCGAGTATCCAGCGCTTGAAGAATTCTACCGTGACTATGACCCACCACTGCTGCCCGGCCGTCATACTTGTGTTGGTCTGTCCTGCCTCCTCGACACTAGACTTTCTGCCCTTGAACTTCAGTACCCTGGCTTAAAGGATTCCGTATATAAGGTTAGTGGTATATCAGAGTTAGTGAATATACAAAGTTTTGATAAAAAAAATACACAAAATTCGAATATAGGAAATGGAACTTTGTAGAATATAAGTTATACAGTGCATTGTGAGTTCTCGCTTAAAATAGTGCCAGTATTATACTAGGTTAGTGCTGGACGAGAAGCATAAGATTGAAGAACGAAAATATATTATTTTATAAAAAATAATTTATGTAAGTTTCTATAAAAATCTGTAAATCCTTCACATGTTACTGCTCTGTGTTTTATATCAAGCTAATTTTAACATAATGCTTTGTGTGATTATTTTATTCATGAAAAAATGCTAAACCCGATTGTGTGTAATGTTTGCAGGTGTCTTGTGAAGAAGAGGTGGACAACGTCGAGTGGTACTGCACAGGGGATGCTCCACCTGTCACCTGTGAAAAAGAACATGTACTGTTGTGTATCAGAATCCGTGTGTGTGGTCGTGCAGGTGTTGTGCTTCTCGACCCTGGCTACCACATTGGTGAGCCAGTCACTGTTATGGAAGATGGTCTGGCTCCCCAGTCTGGAGCTATAAGGGCTAGCACAGCAAGGGCTCAAGTGATGAGGTTTTACCGTTACTGGTTCTGGCCTGATAATCCATCATTTGTGGCTTGGGAAGTAACTGAAGAACGGGAGAGAAAACCAGCTCACCAACACATAAGCCTTATCCATGTGGCTCGTCCGTTTCTCTCAGGTATAGATGTAGCAGAGCGTCGTAATCTTGCATACCCCTTTAAGACATTAGTGGCTCGAGAACCAACAGGACGCCTTAGATGTGGCCTGTATTTTCCTCTTCGTGACTGTCATCGAAGTTACGTAACACTCTTCCACCTAGTGGCTGGCCTTCCTCATCATGTTAAAGTACCTCTCGATTACTTCCTGGAAGAATCATCTCGAGAGGATTATATAGATGCAGCCATAGAAGCAGTGGCTGCAGGGACAGGCAGAACCATGGAGGACCTTTGTTTTACCTTGACTGCTGTGGCCCGCCTTCTTTCCGATCAAAACCTCTTGCTGCAGCTAGCACAACTGAATGAAGCTATTGACAGCATCAGTAAAAACAACTAACAACTGCATTAAAAAGTTACAAGAATGTATATAGTGCACACATATTTTTCATTTTAACATTGGTTATTTATCACCATGGCAGGGAGCTCGAAGGAGTCGCATTTACCATCACTCGCTTCGTGTTTTTTTTTTTTCCAGAAGTGCACAGACATCATGATTTAATGACCCACTAAACTGCAACACTAATTTTCTAGAAACAACATGGATACTGTTCTCAAAAAGGAGCTAAATTTTTCAGAGGATCTCCCCAGACAAGTTTGTTATTTGTGGTGAAACCTTAGTTTTCTTCACTACTAGAGGTTATTTATTATGTGGGTCAATATGCACTTAATGGGTTTGGATTTGAGAAGAACTTGCCTAGTACGGGCCAGTAGGTCTGCTACAGGGTTCCTTATTTCTTATGATCTCATAAGCGTTCTTGGATCATTCATCATGAATATAAAAATGGCATTATTGTTACTTTTATATTCATTGGGAACTACTGAACCCTATAGGGGTCAAAGGTAATTAGGTTTTAAGAAAGCGCAGGGTAGTTCAAATTCGTCTAATCAAAGCACTTGACCAGCATCAAGGCATTCACTTCCCCTTGTAAAGAAGTGGTAGCTTTGGCCACCTTTGTTCTTCGTCTTCTGTCTTCACTACTACCTCCGGTGAAAGACAGCAGCCAGTTTTAAGTGGGCCACTTTTGTATACTGAACATTGTGCTCGCTTATTTATTCATGCATATTTACAAATCTTTTGTAGCACTGTGGCACCTTAATGCGCACTGATGCAGGGAGAGGGAAGGACTCTGTCTATGCCAGGAGTTGTGGGATATCCTTAAACCCCACCTAGTGCAGATTTGGCTTGGTTATTTCAGATATGAGTACATTGTATATGCTCATGGCCTCGGTTTATTTTGGTATGCATACACTGGGGGGAAGGATCCTGGTTGATCGTGAGCGTTTTTTTGTAGAGTCGACATCAGGAAACTTCAGTTCTGGGAGGTTGTTGATCTTAAAAATAGAGCAATAACCTGGGTTGGAGGTCTATTTCAGGTGGGTAAAACGAGAGGTGAGGATTTTCTTAGTAACTGTTCTGAAGGATGGAGGTTGGGTCAATGGTTAGAAGTAGGGAAGGTGAACTTCTCGGTTACTTGAAGTATTTTATGAGTGTTGGCATGGAGACATAATTACAGCGTACGTTGTTCCGTTGGGGGTCTTTTGTCTTACGCAAAGTGTATCTAGTAGTAAGGGTGGAATGATCGCTTTTGCAGTTTAACCTCTTGGGTCATTTAGTACACGTGTGACCGTTAGCACTGCAGGGAGTATTATTATTATATTCCCTGATGAATAATAAACTCATAGGGATCACATAGAGCCTGTGGAACAAGATTCAGTCAAATTTGACACCATTATAGGTGTATGTTTTTTGACATAGACGACATACAATTACGCAGGGCTCAACATGGCCGACACGGCAGGTTGTGTAGCGGGCTAGCTGCGGGATTTTCAAGGATAGCTCCTGGTCAAAGAGGCTGACCAGGTCCCTACTTAACAGAACTCAGTGTGAATGCTTTGAGAAGATACCAGAGCAGCGAACGGACATCCCAGTGCATCGTTTCAGCGTAAATAGTTGAAGTGTTGTGCAATTTCAGAGGATTTGGTGTTGTCGAGTCAGGACCAGTCAGCGCCTCCCCCCCCCTCTCCGCCGGGGGGGAGGGGGAGGGCGTGTGTAGTAAACAGTGACCCTCTCATAACGCCTCACCCCTGCGCGTCTCCCCTGCCTCACCCACCCAACTCCCAGCGCCACCCCATCTGTAGAGGGTACTTCTCCCCTAACCCACGATGTCAGCGATGGCACTGCAGGGAGTGCCGGGCTCACAGGAACTTCCACTACAGGGACAGCATCGTGGAGTTCGACCGCGAGGCAGCTGTCAGGTGTGCCACAGGCAGTGTGTACTCAGTTCCTCAAGCTTCAACATCCGTGCACACGAGGGCCTGGGATCTTCAATCAACTTGGCGTCCACCAGGACGCTGACATGTCCCTAGGGGAGCTCTCCATCGGGCTGCTAACGGAGTCACTGGCTTCTTGGACCTCTTGGGGAGGGTCGATGGTGCTCGTGCAAGCAGCAGATCCCAGGGCAACTTGCTGCTGTTTGCAATGGCTGTCTGCCGAGGAGAGACAGGCACCTAGCAACATCTGTTGTTGGGGCAATGGATGAATTCCCTGCTATGTTTGTTAACTGCTCATTACTCTGTAATTTGTCTATGATTGTAATCATGTGATAACGTGTTTATCATTCATTACCTTTGAAACTTGTCATGATTTTGACCAGCTCTACCTGGAGCTCATTACCTTTGTAAATTCTCATGATTAATGTGTTTATGATTCATTACCTTTGCAATTATTCATGAGTGTGACCAGCTCTACCTGGAGCTCATTACCTTTGTAACTTGGTCATGATTATGACCAGATCTAGTTCATTACCATTGCAACTTGCTCAGGTATCAAAACTTTGGAGTCCAGTCCCTGGACCAATTATGTACCTCTGTAATCTTTTGACTACCGCCCACAAGATGGGTATGGGGTGCATAATAAACATATTAAACTAAACTAAACTAAAGACATACAATTAGCAGCTCTCGGCTATTTTACGCGACATTTTCTATCATTGGTCATCCAAAATGCCTAGAAACCACTTTGAGGTGGCTGCTCTTTCAAGCTCTTGAAGAAATCCTTGGTAACTTGGGTATAAAAGAAAAGGTCCAGCATGGGGTGATCTGATGGTAATGCTCAGGCTGAATGTTGCGTGGATCACATGATATTGGGAAATGCGTAGTCCATTGCTAGTAGTAGTAGTAGTGGCCATGGCGATGTCCGTGTACGGTGCTACTTTAGCATGCGGTCTACCGCAGTATTCGTAGTCTACCCTGTGAACTGACTAACGTGCGGTCTACTTTTTATGCTATAATTTTTTTTTACCATCAGCGTAACAACCTAACCTAACCTAACCGCACGCTGAAGTAGCACCCCGTGTACGTTGTAGAGGCAGTGCGGACCTAGTGATTTCTTTGAAATTTGCCTAAGTGTTCTGTTCCTCATTTGATTTGTGAAAGTCGTCAGGAGAAAGGCTACGTACGTCTCTGTTAAGTCTCTTGATAAAGACTGACTTTTTGGTCTGGGGAAGGGTGAGGAGACGACATCGAAGTGATTCCTTCGTGTAGGTAATAGCGTCTCCACGAAGTGAACGAATGCACACAGTGCGCCTGCATACTGGAGAGAGAGTAAAGGCTGGTGGTCAGCTCTTCGTGAACAGTGAAGTGTGCTGATCTGTGAAGTACATGTTTTGTAAAGAGGAAGAACAGCAGCTCAGATAAGAAGAGTGTGGAACAGGCGAAGAGCAGTGCAAAAGAAGTTATCTGTAGAAACAGGGTCAGGGCTTAACTCAGCAGCGGGACGTTGATGGCAAGAGACGAGAACAGCATAGAAGCGAACTGATGGTAGTGGTTAGTTTAATATGTTTATTATGCATCCCATACCCATCCTGTGGGCGTAGTCAAAAGATTACAGAGGTACATAATGGGTCCAGGGACTGGACTCCAAAGTTTTGATAGCTGAGCAAGTTACAGAGGTAATGAACTCACAATTACGAAGGTAATGAACTCACAATTTACAAAGGTTAAGAACTCAATTTACAAAAGTAATGAACTCCAGGTAGGTCTGGCCACAATCATGACAAGTTACAAAGGTATTTGCAGATTACAGAGGTACGTAATGGGTTCAGGGATGGTAGTGGTGACAGATATGTCAGGCAAGTGCAGGAGCTCGGGAGGAAATTCAGCTAACGGTAGATTTTTTTTTTTTTTGAGGCTTTATGGTAGATTCATGGTTTAAGGAACCATTCTTGGAACCTCTTAAGATTTCTCCGAGTACGTGATGTACTAGGTCAAACACGTGGTCAGCTGAGATGTAGGGCGAGCCGCAGGCGAATTTCATGATACCGTTGCCTAGTCTTGTGTACAGTATCTTGGAGTACATGGAGCCTCTATTAGAGGGTGGTCTAGAAACCAGTTTTTCCAGGCAAATACTGTGACTGTCAGCTACAACCTCTTCATTTCACCTTTACTCTGATATGTAAGATCCAGCCGCATGCCTATGGTTTGTGCTTGAGGAACTGACCACCTCCCACAGAGGGAGACGGACTGATTACGTCAAGACCACTTCGACTACAAGATGACGGACTGATTACGTCAAGACCACTTCGACTACAAGATTTCACCTGTATTTCGACTGAAGAAGCCTGATGTACAGGCGAAATTTATAGGCAATAAAGATACCCATTTACTCCAAATGTGTCTTATTTATCAAAATGCCCACCGTTTTGGAATTTTCCTTGGAAATTTTCTGGGTGTGTTTTGAAATTTAGTTTCGGTGTGCACCCAAGAATTTAACCTCCATTTTTATGTTAACACATCTTGCAACATTCTTTATGGCACTAACACTTGACATTATGACACTTAACACTACAGCATTCTTTACAACACTTTTTACAGCATTATAACACTCTTTACAGCACTAACACTGTTTACAACACTACATTACCACTCTTTACAATGTTGTATCTAGTGGACTCCTAGTACAAATGGGAAAGTGTCCGTGGTTTGGTTAGCCGGGGATTGAACCACGAACACTGAGTGTTCCAAGCTATTCATACCGAACCATCGAACTTAATGTCTTTTGAACCTGTATGTTAGTTACGGTCATGGATTACTCTGAATATCATCGCATAACAGTACTACAATTAACACGGTACGAATAATGTTTGTATGGAGGTGTAGTGTTGCCTTTGCTGCGATATTAGCGCTTTCTTTTGATTATAATAATAATAATAATTTGCTGCGATAGTGATACGCTCCCTGTTGACATGATGGAAACTGGGTTTTTTACTGTCCGGGTGCCATTACTCCGGTCACCCTTTCCAGCCCCAATGATTGATTCCCTTCTGCGCGAATTGCAGAATAAATATAAACACGATTAAGGCAGCCCTCACCCTTCTCCCGCCTCCCATCTTTCCACTTATTTTTACTCTAACACTTATTTTCACAACAGAGTTTGCTTCTTCCCCTTTTCAATATCATCGGTTCAATAATTTAGCAAACAAGCTTTGAGGTGGCACTTAAACACACCACGTAATATTCACCACCTCCTGGTAGGCAACACTTAAGTGTCCGGGGTTCGATCCCCGGCAAAGGAAGAAACATGGGCGTATTTCCACACACCTTTCTCGTTCACCTAGCGAGCAAGTAGGTACCTGGGTGTTAGTCGACTGCTGGGGGTCGCATCCTGGGGACAAAACTAGACTTAATTTGCCCGAAATGCTCTGCATAACAAAGGGCTTTCTATATAGTACAGTGGTTCCCACACCTTTTAAGGCTGCCGCCCCCTTGGCTCCCAGGACATCACTACCCCCCCCCCCACACACACACATAATACGAACACACCTCTTTCTTGGTATTAGCTTTACTGCACTATAAACAAACGTATTTATTTCACAAATAAAAATTAACATGGTAAACCAATTTATTTAACAATATGAAAGGGTAAATTTACATCTCATCTGTAACTACATTGTCTTCACAGTTTTAATGATATGGATGTGCTTGGTGCAGGAACATAAACTCACAACATCATACTTCAAGGCGCTGAGAGTCTTAGGCCTCCCCCCCGGGTCAGTAATTTTCAGTCTGTTACTTTGCTTGGAAAGAAGCTTGCTCTCCGCATTTGTGATCCGTCAAATTACCGTCCAATAAGCCTAACCCGAATTGTAGGCAAATTATTAGAGTCAATTACAGCTGATAATATAAGCCATCTTGATGAGCATAATTTAGTTAATGATACTCAGCATGGATTCACGAGGAGCCGTTCCTGCCTGACTAAGATAAGATAAGATAAGATTTCGTTCGGATTTTTAACCCCGGAGGATTAGCCACCCAGGATAACCCAAGAAAGTCAGTGCGTCATCGATGACTGTCTAACTTATTTCCATTGGGGTCCTTAATCTTGTCCCCAGGATGCGACCCACACCAGTCGACTAACACCCAGGTACCTATTTGCTGCTAGGTGAACAGGACAACAGGTGTAAGGAAACGTGTCGAAATGTTTCCACCCGCCGGGAATCGAACCCGGGCCCTCCGTGTGTGAAGCGGGAGCTTTAGCCACCAGGCCACCGGGCCTGAGGCAGTTGATCACGATAAAGAATTCGTTATTGTTTATTTGGATTTTAGTAAGGCTTTTGAAAGAGTACATCAGAGACTGTTAAAGAAAGTGGCAGCTCATGGAACATAAGAACATAAGAAAGGGGGAACACTGCAGCAGGCCTGTTGGCCCATACTAGGCAGGTCCTTTACAATTCATCCCACTAACAAAACATTTGCCCAACCCAATTTTCAATGCCACCCAAGAAATAAGTCCCACTCAAATCCAACCCCTCCCACTCATGTACTTATCCAACCTAAATTTGAAATTACCCAAAGTCCCAGCCTCAATAAACCAACTAGGTAGACTGTTCCACTCATCTATTACCCTATTTCCAAACCAATACTTTCCTATGTCCTTTCTGAATCTAAACTTATCTAATTTAAATCCATTACTGCGGGTTCTCTCTTGGAGAGACATCCTCAAGACCTTATTAATATCTCCTTTATTAATACCTACCTTCCACTTATACACTTCGATCAGGTCTCCCCTCATTCTTCGTCATTCCCCTCTTTCTTCATAAGGAAGATTTCTAATGCTATGTATTAATTTAGTCATCCTACGCTGAATGTTTTCTAACGAATTTATGTCCATTCTGTAATTTGGAGACCAGAACTGAGCTGCATAATCTAGGTGAGGCCTTACTAATGATGTATAAAGCTGCAGTATGACCTCTGGACTTCTGTTGCTTAAACTTCTTGATATAAATCCCAGTAATCTATTTGCCTTATTACGTACGCTTAGGCATTGCTGTCTTGGTTTAAGGTTGCTGCTCACCATAACCCCCAAGTTCTTTTTGCAATCTGTATGGCTAAGTTATACATCATTTAACTTATAAGTACTAGGGTTATGGGCACTCCCAAGCTTCAGAACCTTGCATTTATCTACATTGAACTGCATCTGCCACTTTTCTGACCAAAAATAGGGGGTTTTTTTAAACCCTCCTGAAGTTCCAAAAAACATCTACGTTTGAATAAATTTTCCCTACCTATCTTTGTTCATCGCGAATTTGCTATATCATAGAAAATTTCCCTCATCAAGATCTTTGTATTATTATAAACAAAAGGGCCCAAGACTGATCCTGTGGAACGCCACTTGTTCAGATCCCCACTCGGATTTAACCCCATTATGGCACTTTTGTTTCCCTTCGTGAGCATGACCGATCCACGAGACACTTTTCCCCCAATGCCATGACTGCCCCTTTTTTTAAAAGCTATGGGTTTTTAGGTAGAACAATGCAACGTTGACAACTTTATTCGAAACGTTTCGCCTACACTAGGGTTCTTAGTGAATACAGAAGCCCACTGTGTAGGCGAAACGTTTTGGAAATTTAAAAATTTTCAATTTTTGCATATGTGTCTTACCTAACAACCCGTCGTATTGTATACCATTTGAAGTTCAACGTCTATGGTCAGAACCCATCAAAAAACCTTTCTAAAAACTAAGTAAAAAATATCAAAATTTTTTACGTGGTCAAAAACCTCAAAAGCTTTACTGAAAGGGTTAAAAAATTAGTTAGACAAGACCCGGCCCCTTGTGAAACCCCTGCTGAGTTCATTAATCAAACTTTTATTGAGATGGCTTTTTATAATCTCAGTATAATTGACTTAGAATTTGCCTACAATTGAGGTCAGGCTTATTGGGCGGTAATTTGACGGTAACGACTTGTCCCCTGTTTTAAAAATAGGAATTACATTAGCCATCTTCCACATATCAGACACTACACCTGTTTGAAGAGATAAATTAAAAATATTAGTTAATGGTTCAGAGTTCCATTTTGCATTCCTTAAGAACCCTTGAAAAAACCTCATCAGGACCCGGCGACTTATTTTGCTTCAGTCTGTTTATCTGCTTCACAACCATTTCACTAGTGACTGTGATGTTACATAATTTATCTTCTGCTAACCCACTATAAAAATTAATTACTGGAATATTGTTAGTGTCTTCCTGTGTAAAAACTGAGAGAAAATAATTATTAAAAATCGAGCACATTTCATTATCTTTGTCAGTAAGGTCCCCATAGGTATTTTTAAGGGGACCTATCTTATCTCTAACTTTTGTTCTATAGACCTGGAAAAAACTTTTTGGGTTAGTTTTAGAATCCCTAGCAACTTTAATTTCATAGTCCCTTTTAGCTTTTCTTATCCCCTTTTTAATGTCCCTCTTAATGTCAATATACTGATTCATAAGATGACCCTCACCTCTTTTGATACGCCTATAAATTCCTTTCTTATGCCCTAGTAGATATTTGAGCCTATTATTCATCCATTTTGGGTCATTTCTATTTGATCTAATTTCTTTATATGGGATAAACGTTCTTTGAGCAGCATGTTGTGACGTGTACTTAGCTCTGTGAAGACCTGTTTGTGTGCTCTCTGTGAATCTGAACCAGGATGCCCTCTCTTGAGCAACTTTATCAGCAGCTGAGAGAAGAGCTCAGAGTTGCTAAGATGGAGATACGGCGATTAACGGAGGAGAACAAGAGGATTCGTAGTAATCCTCCTGTTGTGAGTCCCCAGGTTAAGAGGGGAGCTTGGTCAGTGGCCGGGCAACATGGAACCAAGCTGAAGATCAAGAAAACGGTTGGAGAGGAAGAAACAATGAGAAACCAGAAGACTACCGTGGAAACTTCCAACCCATTCTCGGTGCTACCTGACGAATGTGAGTGTTCTACTGGGAATGCCACAACGAGCACCAAAGAAGCATTGGCAGACGTGAGTGAGACATCCCTAGAAACCCCAACGAAGACCATCGAGAACTTTCTTGACGAATTTTACAAAGTGGTGTAATGCTACCTGGCGAATGTGAGTCGACTACTGGAGAAATCACGACGGACGACGCCAAGGAAGGTAAAAACATTGTTGTTGTTGGGGATATCCAGATTAGGTACATGGATAGGGCATTCTGTTGAAAGGATAGGAGTAGGAAGGCAAAAGTGTTTTCCTGGGGCTGGGATGAAGGATATTGTTAGCCGTCTGGATGACTTCATGAGAGGTAATGGGAGCAATCCTTTATCTGTCTCAATGCGGAGGCAACGATTGTTGGCAGACGTAGGAGTGAGGCCCCTGATTAGCAGGTTTACAGGTCAGCAATAGA